CAGCCAAAAGTTAGTCTAGATATCAATTTTCAGTTAATTATCTTTATTCTATTTGAAGATATGGCTAATTGAAAATGCAACTTTACAAATATGTCATAATTGATAGCTAAAAAGGGGTATGACCCTAAAATTTCATATAAGAGACAGACATGGAATTGGCAAGTCAAATTTTGGGTTTGTTCGTCAGACATGTTGGTGCACATTATATCCGAGTTTCAAGAAAATCTGAGACGGTACCCAGCCATCCCATTTGTTGAGTTGGCACGGAATGACCCATAGGTAATTGATTCTCCCAAAAATGCATCAGATGTTTGTTTTTGGGAGAGAAAATTTACTGTGGGGACCCCACCCCCCCAGAGTAGTGTTGTCCAGATCGCCACCCGACCACCCGTTTTACATCTCTGGATCCGCCCAGGCAGGACTCGAGTTGGTCCCTTGGTTTGGACTCTACTGTCGAACATGTTGGACACCATGTTCTGTCAGCAAGTTTTGGCTAATGATTTTTAAAAATTTTCATCAAATTTTGGCTAAAGACAGCTTCAATTGGCTAAAAAAAATTGTTGACTTTAGCCAATTGGCTAAACAAAAAAATATGTTAGAGTGACCCCAGAATACCCCTGTCACATTGCCAAAACTCCGCTCAGAAGTTTTTCAGACTCCTCTTGTTGGCCTTGTAGGGGTTGGCATGTCTGTAGCCCAAATAACCTATGATGCTGGTACCTTATAGAAAGACACTTGGGACAATTTTATCTGTTGTGTTGATCAAGCAAGTCACAAAATCCTGTAGCCACAAAAAGCTGTATATTTGGCCTACAAAGAAGCTATTCTAGATCAATTTAATGTAATATTTACTGATAGTGAATTACAAGTTGTATGATGTCTCTGAGGCCATTTACAAATATAAATTTTTTTTGGTCTTTGAATGATAAAATATTTGTGAAAGCGTTTGTGTTTTGCAGCCCAAGCTAGATCTGGTCTGCTCCAATCATCAGTCATTTCTCTTTATGTCGTTTACTTGACGTGGTCGGCAATGAGTAGCTCACCTGATAAAGGTAAGAGTCTATTAATAGAAATATTAATAGTAACATTAATTATAAAATACATAGAACCCGTCCTTTGGGCCACTACTATTAAGGGAACACTTTTTCAGCCACAAAATGGAGGAAAGTGTATCTTTAAACACTACGACCAACCCCTATTCAGAGGGCACCAGTATTTTTGGTCCCGAAAATGTCTTCTTATTAGGGTTCTACTGTACTGCTTACATTGAAAATCTTACCCCGGTATTCTTAAAACAAACTTTAGTCGTAGTTCAAGCTAAAACTTAAAAATTACGTCATTTCGTATTCTTAAAACAAACTTCAACTAGCACTACGACTAAATGACGTGAACCTCGCCTAAAATTATACCTCCGCAGGCCGATTTTTTTAGTCAGCCTAGGGTCAGGCAAAATCGCCGACATGAAATATTTATCCCAATGAAAACGTGCTTTTTGTGACTTACGATAAAGTGAAATGAATAACAACGATTGTATAAGTAGGTCTGATGTATCTCCATTGTGTTCAAGAAAAGGGACATTACGTTTAGCTTCCAAAAGGCGAAGTTAGCATGTTTTGCTAGCCACATGCAACAGTTCCTGATTTACACGAAATCCTCTTGCGTTGTGGCCACGTAGATTCACCGTAACAACAACAAAGATGGCACCGCCCTCGCTCGACCTCAACTATAATAGTTCTCCAAAGAAAGCAAATTTTTAGTGACAGTTCAAATTCTCTATCGTTTGATGTTAACAACTAATATAGTTATTAGTATATAATATTAGTTATGCGAATAATGGTCAATTATGAATTATGAGGAAATATGTTTTTGAAAGACAGACGGCAGTTTAATATTCTTCCGCATTACCGGATCTCTAAAATTTCATCTGCTATTAAATTAGCTCTTTTTATTGGTTAGTTTGATAGTTGTTGCTTGCCAGTCGTCTTCAGCTGAACTACAACTAGGACTTGATTTAGTCGTAGTTAGAACTTCTATTACGTTGTTTGTGAATACAAATTGAAGTTGAAGTTGCAACTAAGACTAAATTAAGTTCTAGTTTGAAATTAGACTAAAGTTTGTTTTAAGAATACGGGCGTAAAAGTGTTTCATTTTTCAATAGATTGTTTAACTCTTGGCAGAGAAGGGTAGAACAGAAAAAGGAAAATAACATTTTGTAGTTTTATTGCACAAAGCCAAAAGCTTCTAGATGGGTAAATATTGGCCGTATTCGACTGGTCGCCCTTCGTTAAACCACGCCAATCTGCGCAGTGGTAAAATCCTACTTAACGAAGACAACCAGTCGAATAGAAAACTGGTAAATACTACTTACTAGACAAAACAAAATTGGTATATACACACTGTGTAATCAAGGTTGCTTTGGCTTGTGGCAGTATGTGGTTTTCATAAAAAAAATTGTTTCATCCAGTTTTTGAATTCTGTTTACCCTACAATTATTTTTTGACTTCATGTGGATAAATATTGTAATTTTTATTTTCTGAAATGTAACCTTATAATTTAACGCTGATTAACGCACTCTGGTTTACGTTAATTTTCGTTGTCAACGAATAATACTCAACAAAAAAATGTAGTCAGCCAAATGAACCAGTCGAATAAGCGACTGGTAATGAAGTGACATTGTAATCAGGAATGCAAAATGCAAGTGTGTATTGTTAATGAAAGTAATAGAGGGTGCCATAGGACCCCACTCAAGATCTTATTTTGTGGTCATAACAAATTTAATGTTGTGATGTAATGTAAGCTGAACTCAATTTCTTTACCAATTGTGCAGCATAATTTCAAAATGTAGTTGATCAAATGATCTTTCACCGATTCATTTTTGCAGCATGCAACCCTGGCTTTCCTGATTTCCTTGGTAATGGGACATCGACCACCAACACTGGAGTATCACTGAATGCGGAGAGCTGGTTAGGCTTTATCATCTGGTTTGTCTGCGTTGTATTTGCTTGGTAAGGATCCCTGATAAGCATTTTCAAAAATGGAATAGCAATTAGCTATTGTGTATTAGTATTATTATTAATTATATTATTAATAAATCATAAATAATGTAATTTAAACACTGAAATTCTCAATAGTTTTTCACTTTTTGGCTTAGTTTTCTTTTTCTACTCACTCTCTGGAAGAAGCAGGCATTGACGACAGTGGAAGCTCCTGTTGAATAAATTATATCTTTAAATTTGTTCTGAGTGTGCTGCTTTGTTGCCTGTTTGCATTGTAGGTTATTTAATGTTTTTAATGCTGTAATAAAAAATAAAGTTATTATTGAATGTCGGTTAATTTTTTACATTAATAGCATGCGTACAGCAAGCACCAACAACGTTGGCAAATTGACTGGAAACGAGGTATGGAGTGTTTTTAATCTTATTTAAATATTATTGTCTGTCAGTGATTCTATCACTATGATCAGAAATAGGTCATAATTTCATCTTCGTCCTTTCAGTCTTTAACCCTGCTACATAACAATCTCTTCAATTGAATGGTCAAGATGATATCTGGCACTTTACTTTCCTTGTATATTATCTTTCACCCATTGATACAGCTATTTCACATAATCCATATCCATCCATTATTATATCATTTAAACTGCATTTGTTGAACATTAACCTGTTGAAAATTAAAATTTTTCACCCGCTCAGTGGCATGTTCATGGGTTTTTTTCTTTTCACTAATTGGCAGGGTGAGCACCCCTCTAAAGACCAACTCAGACAGCGTCGCACGATGCAGCCCGACGCGATTTTTTGTCGCGTCGGGTCTGTGTGAGTTCGGGCTGCGTCGACCGATGCTCTCTGAGTTGGCCTTAAGAGTTCCTTCCTGCCCCCCCCCCATGTTCATTATGTACTTTTGTTTTTTCTTGTATTTTTACATGTGCATGTGTGTGTATTTGGTTCTTTTTCACTGCTTGCCTTTTTAACAAGATTATGTAAATTGTAAAGCAGAATAATACTTTAATACTTGATATTAGGTTTGAAAGTAAATAATATTTACTGTAGCAGATTAGGCCCTAAAAAAGTGTATTGTTTTCTGTCCCTAGCCATGACCAAGTCAAAAGCTTGAAAATATATGGTTATGATTATTTCTCTTGTTGTTTTTGGCAAAAAACACTTTTGGGTTACATAATGACAACCAAAAAATGATGTCATATCCCAGTTTAGGCAAATTGCATGAATTTGTCACTTAATTTGGCTAAAACTTGTTACTTTAAAATTTAGCACCTTAATTTGTGACTAACATAACATTTAGTTTATCAACTGTATGGAATTATGTGTGTACTGCATATATTGAATTTTCCTTTATGTGTAGCTGGCGATTATGTTGCATAGTAGAAAATGTCCTACTGTTTTGAAATTCCATTTAATACAAACATCATGATTTAAAACTCATTCACAACGGATCTGAATCGAGATTTTGACCGTTTCCGATGCGCTGAATGCCAACATTTCAATTCTTCAGTAGGATTTCCGATCTGATAATTCGGATTCAGTGTTAATGGACCTTTAATAGATAATAGGAATTTATTTTCCTTGAGAAAAGGCACTAAGAGGCATATAGAAATCTAATAGTGTTACCCTTTTGATAAGATCTATGTGAAAGAAAATAATTGACTTACAGTAGGGGAGGCATTCTATTATCCCATCATTTTCAAGCTTACAAAACATAATTTTTTACCCCGTCCCCTCCCACAAAAGTGGACGTAAAATAAAATGTCATCATATTCTAATTTTTATAACAGTATATATATACATACATATACTGTTGGCCACCTCCTCTAGTGTATATTTTGTATTCTTGTGAAAATATTGAAAATGTTGGATGAACTTCGAACTACTATTCAGAAGTTAGTTATCATTCTTTAAACATTTTTTAATTAAGTAATCAAACAATGAATCTGTCAGTTTATTTATATATTAACAATGCATATAATAACCCATTAAGTAATCACTCATTTATTAATTTACTATTACCATGTATCACAGATCAATTTCTAAAATTATGTTAATTTTAAGTTATTGCCGCCCTTCCTCTTAACATGTATATTAGAATCTTAAACTAACTGATATATATTTTATCTGTGGTGTACTACTACCATTTGTTTGTGTTATATTAAAAAGGTTTTTAAGCCTTAGTCCACATTCATCAGGTTTTATGTGACAAATACTGGTGATTTGTCAATATATGGATGTGATATGACATCATCATGACCATATATGCATGTGCCCAAATATAGGTGTGATATGACATCATCATGCCCATATATGAGAGTGAAATGACATCATCATGCCCATATATGGGTGTGAAATGACATCATCATGTCCATATATGGGTGTGATATGACATGATGCCCATATATTGTATGGGTGTAATATGACATCATCATGCCCTTATATGGATGTTATATGACATCACCATGGCCATATATTGGGAGATTACAAACATTTGTTACATACAACTTGATAGTGTGTACTGCACTTTATGATATGGTGCTTAAGTAAGGTGTTAGACTGGTGATTTTCATATTCTCTCTTTCTTCCAACTGTCTATCCATCTGTCCATTTATTCACGGAAGACCTTCTCTCGCTTGGAGACAGACTCGAATCAGGTACATGCTGCAGTAACATAAGTGGCTTTTTTTGTTCCATAACCTATAGTTTGAGATTCAATTTACTGCTGCATGAAATTTATATTATGATACATGTCGATCTATGTAGTTTGTGTAACTACAGTATGTTACTTAAAACATCTGTTCTTACATACCATACATGATTACAGTAATTTCATATACAAATTTAAACATGTTTTATATTATTAGGTTTGTACCTTATGCATAATATAAGGTCTAAAACAATAATAATAATAATAATAATAATAATAATAATAATAATAATAATATGTTATCAACAGTTAACATTTACTGTATCATTGAGAGTATTTGCTTAATCACATTAACAATAGAAACTTAACGATTATTGTGTTAAAATGGTTTTTTTTTTCAAATAATTGTAAGTAGAAACATCTATTAACAAAATTTCAAATCAAAAGTGAGAATATTTGTTATAAACATACTTATTTACTATTATTATTAATTTTCAATTTAAAAATTACAACGAAAAGATAATTTCCTTTTATTAAAAACAAATAATACTGTCCTTTTACTTTTTGAAGATTTTTGTCGTAAAAAGTGTGTAAATCAATGAAAACTAAATTTTTTTTAAATCATTTTAATATGAATACTTCATAAAAGTGAAAGAAGCAATATTACAAAAAAAAAGTGTTTTTATAAATAATTTGGCATGCAAGATCCCATCCCTGTTTTTTGTACAATTCTGATATTTAATTTGATTTATTTGCATTGCTTACCTGTGGTTGATATCATTAAAAACTCCTCTTGTAGAAAGTTAATTCTTTTTAATTATTATTCTGCTTTGGTTGTAGGAGGTAACTTTCTATGGTGCAAATGAGGTAAGCGTCAGAGTTCAATGATATAGGGCGCTTTTACAAATACCCTTTGAAAATTTTGGTTTTCTTGAGATGGATGGATGGATGGATGGATTTGGAAAATTCTGTAGCTAATGATTTTTTGTAAATTAACGAAAAGTTGTGTTGTCAATTTCTAACATTAATAATATAAGCACCAACCTCACATTGCCTCCTTTGACTAACATTCATAACCTTAAGTTGTTACACCAATCTCACATTGGTGTATGCATATTGTATGTTTTTGTTAAATTCATTTGCACCATGTTGTTATATTGATTTGCATTGTTTTGTAACTGCTTTACCTTTTTTGTGCTTCACTTTATATATTGTACACGTTTTGTAGAATATGCTTTTGTTATTTATTATAATAAATATTGTAAACTGTATTTCATTCCAAAATTTAATTTATATTTGTGCAAAGAATCTTTAGTGTCATTGACTCTTAACATTATCATTATATTATTTCTTTATGTGTATCGTACAGTATGTATCACTTTAGTTGTATTCAACATGGGCATATGAAGGATCTTAAAAATTAAGGTGGAGAAATGGGTTGTTGTTACGGAATTGTAAACTATTTCAGCAAGTTTTGTCCCCTCCTCCCATATCTGTCACTCACTGAGATCTGTTTTTTTTTGTTTTTTTTTCGGACCTCTTACAGCCTTCTATAAAAATGATTCCATCAAATAAAATATTTTTATAAAGCTCTGTCTAAACTTTCAAATTTTATGAGACAAAAAACTGCTGTATGCCCATATTCATGATGCCACTATATGGTCATGATGTGATGTCATCATGACTGATCATATTTGGGCATATCATGTTTTTTTAAAATAAAATGCGATAATCTGGACAGTGCGGTACTTCCAAATAGCTAGTAAATTTCTGTTTTGTTCTCATTCACAGAAGGTTTTGTTGAGCTCAGATTCTACAACTTCGAAAGGTAGATTATAAACATTTATTTTGTGACTTTGTGTAATTTAATTGAGGCAATTTTTAATACTATGTTAAGACTCCCCACCCTTTAAGCCTTGTAAATAAGACTTAGTTTAAATAATTAGAAATAATACATCATGATTGTGAACCACAAACCAACCACTTCCACATTTAAATTAACTTGAGTTTTATCTGTTTTTAGAATCTGGAGCAGAGGGTGACAGTGATGCAGAGGCTGGACAAACTGTATGGGATGATGAGAAAGAAGCGGTTGCCTACAGCTACTCATTTTTCCACATCCTCCTGTTCTTGGCTTCATTGTATATCATGATGACCTTGACCAACTGGCTCAAGTTAGTATACTGTTTTATTGAACCTTTCCGCTAAGCCCCACACATTGGATATTGTTGGCGAGGTCCCACAATGGTGTAAATGCCTGTAAGCATGTGTGATGTTGGACAAGTGCATACTCCTGCCTCTGATTGGTCTATTTTACTCAAAATGATGTGGACAAAAATTTGCGTTGCATATAAATATTTCAAAATCAGGCTCAAAGGGTGGGAATTTGTCTAGCTTTTTAAAATGTTTACTCATGCCATACATTTTGGCTCATAAAATGGTAACCAAATGGTCAACAATCCATGATAATTAAAGCTTGAAAACTGCCCAATAGGCCATTCCAGAGTGTCATTCAAACTACTTCTTGCTAAGTCAATCCAACTGACCAATCAGAACATGGCCAGGAGAATGTGTGTGTTTACACAAATTCACATGTTTACATACATTTACGCTAATGTTTTTGTGGGACTCGGACGTTAGCAACAATAGCTAAGGGGCGGGACTTAGCGAAAGGTCTATTCCCAACCAGATATTACTCTTGCACTACAGCTTCTGCTGATCCTTCACCGAAACTGTGTCTGGACTCAATTTGGCTTTAGACTAAATGTTTTACTCTTTGTTTTGTACTATTTTACAATTCTTGTACTATTGTGAAAATAAATTTATTATTTATTGTAGACCAATAAAACAATGTTTTTAAAAAACATTTTCAGACCTAATTCAAGTTCTGCAGACAAGCTTACTCAAAGTACTGGAGCAGTATGGGTGAAGATGTCATCCTGCTGGATATGCATTTTTATTTACGCATGGACACTTGTTGCACCAATCATACTAAGCGATCGTGACTTCTCCTAAAAAGTCTATCAACCAATCAATGTGTACTTTTTAATTAAAGCATCTAGTTGGCACACAATTGGAGTTCAATATTTAATGTGTCATGATTTTGAAAACCAATATATTCCTATAATTTTTAATTTAGTTTATTGTACATTCTCATCAAAGTTGTCGTTTTTATACCCCATAATTATTTAACTATCGTGTTGCATTTAGGAAAACTGATCAATTGATAATACTTGGACCTTTGTTGCCTTAAGTTATAAATAACAAAGAACTGTACACTATATAAAAAATCCAGTGGATTATTTTGGTAAGGGTTGAACCCAGGACCTGTAGTTAAAATTATGACGGAGCTTATACAGATTATAGCCAGCATCACATAATGTAGATGGTGTTAGAATAGTTGCCGCTCTAAAGACATAGCTGATCGCCCCAAATAGAATATAATAATCTAGAAAAATGTTTGAATTTTGTATAAAATAGGCATTTTTAATTCTTGGCTTCTTCTCTGTTTTGGTATTATAATACAGGGCAACAGCATATGAAGAATGCCATCCTAAACCAGCGTAATCCCAAAACTGTCATTAGCATAAGAATGTGGCAGTATTGTATATTTATTACAAAGAAGCCATAATGATTTTATTCAAAACTTTGGCAATAGTAAGGTGACTTCAGAAAATGACCCGTCGTTTTAAAGCTTACTATATTTGAAGTCATTTCTCATTTTTTGGTCACTGATGCTGGTATTGGGATGGCAAGCCTCATAGATATTGTAGGTACAGTATGTGTTAGTTAGACAAGCATCAAATCAAGGTCTCTTAATGTTAAATTTATTACAAATATTGCTTAGTTCGGCTAATGTATTTGCCATGTGTTATAGCAAGTTTGAGGGAATTTCAATTTTTTTTAAGTTTCCAAACTTAACAGAATGTAAGATGTTGACAATAAGACAAAGCCTAAAAATGCTAATACATGTGTGAAATTCTAATTAATCATTTAAAGTATGTGATAAATAACCAAAGGGAATAAGGTTGAAAGTTAAGAAATTGCAGAGGCTTGGTTTTGTACTGCAAAGCATAAAGGGAAACATGTATTGGTGGTGGATTGTGACTTGCATGTATGCAATATAGGTAAACTTTATTGAAATTTAAAAAAAAATTGTAATGATTATGTTGATATGTATGAAATAAGAGATTCAACCATGCAAAATATTTTTTTTTCTATTAAATTACTTTTACATTAAAACTATTAAAATATATTTATGCACCTTAAAGTGAATTGGACATGCATATAAACTGGAGCAGTGCTTCTGGTTCAGGCTGTCCAGATTCAATCCATTTGCTAGTGTCTTTGGGGAGAGGTACTTTATCTACAATTGTTTCTGTCTGCAGTTGTCAAACATTTAATCTAATAGATCTCTTTGAATTTTCCAATTTTAATATTTTCTTCCTCTGGTCTTACTGTTGTATATTTTTTATTTGTTTTGATTGTCCTTTGTATCCCCTGGCAAAAGGTGTGGTACATATTTCTATATTATATATAAGGATGAGAAAATTCTCTAGAAAGTTATTGGAATGCTACACATGACTTATGATTAGAAGAACTTTCAGATATTAATTGGAAAGCACAATAGTTAATTCCAAGCATATTTATTTTATGAATGGATATCAATCGTGACAAGAAAGATTTTTTTTTTCACCTTTATTGACTAAATATTATTGGCAGTTTTTGCAATAAATAGATTGTACAAGGCAATTATGTTGCTCATAATTCATAATTTTTCAGCTTTTCTGTGTATTTTAAGCCATAAAACTCAAAAACCACATAGGGCATTGCAACAATTAGGGATCACCACCAACTACTTCTTGCAATGAGAAAAATGGTGAAAGTGCAGAAGTAGATCCCTTTGACTAGGTGAACTATTAAAAATTAAATAGCACCATCCTTTCAGCATCCACAATATCAGTGCACGGTTCTTCAATATGCTCCATCACCTACCGTCGGAGTAGTCTTTGGTGGTGGTATTTAAAAATCAAGAACCTGGGCACTGCCTCTTCATTTTATCCTCTTTAGTTGCAAACTCCTTCATCTTGGACCAGTAACTTTTAGTCATCTCATCAAGTTCTCTAATAGAATCTAGGGAATGAGGGAAAAAAAAAAAAATTAATATTAAAACTTAAGTAGTCGTGGACTATACACTTGCAATCCATAACATTGGTGCTGCTAGTTATGGGTTTTCTCTACATTTTTCTTTACCTCTACCAATATAATCAAACACAATGACATGTTTTATTGTCACTGAGAGTGTGTTTCTTGCGTACACACTTAGTGGGCGTAGGCTGTGGGGTATCCACCCATTGCAGCAAACTAAATGAGTTAGTACTAACCTGTTGACATTGCTAGTTTACAGTCTTCTACATCTACACCAAGAGCTCCTGTCACATTCTTTACAGTTGGATACTATGTAAAATGAAACAAAATAATAATAAATAATAATAGTGTAGTTTTATATAGCACACAAATCCATCTAATGGTAATGATTTGCACTGTGTAAAAGCCACCTTGGACAGCATTGTACAATGCACACACAATTTATCGGGGATCAATAGTTAAACATGTTTTGTTCCTTGTAATGTCCACTCACTTTATTTTTGTAATAATTTGTAGACAGTTTCTCCAATGCAGTATACACCCTTTGACACAATTTATCGGGGATCAATAGTTAAACATGTTTTGTTCCTTGTAATGTCCACTCACTTTATTTTTGTAATAATTTGTAGACAGTTTCTCCAATGCAATAATAATAAATAATAATAATAATAGTGTAGTTTTATATAGCGCACAAATCCATCTAATGGTAATGATTTGCACTGTGTAAAAGCCACCTTGGACAGCATTGTACAATGCACACACAATTTATCGGGGATCAATAGTTAAACATGTTTTGTTCCTTGTAATGTCCACTCGCTTTATTTTTGTAATAATTTGTAGACAGTTTCTCCAATGCAGTATACACCCTTTGACACAATTTATCAGGGATCAATAGTTAAACATGTTTTGTTCCTTGTAATGTCCACTCACTTTATTTTTGTAATAATTTGTAGACAGTTTCTCCAATGCAGTATACACCCTTTGACACTCGACCTCATCCACCTAAAAAAAAAAAGAAGTTAATTTCAATTAGACCACAACAATGAAAGTTACAGATATCTCCTTACATTTTAGAAAAATACAAGCTGCTTTTTAATATTATTCTTAATAATAATATACTGTACTGGACATACAAAGTCTTAATTGGCTTTGAAGTTATAAACGTAGATGATTGAAGTTAACTATGAGTATTAGAATGGGGGACTCCAGGATTAAGTCAGAAGTGATGGATGCTAGTTGGCGAATTAGGTGATATGAGGTGATTTTTAATAAACATCAATTTTTTGCTTCAAACATTTTCAGTGAAAGCTGGGGGATGGAGGGACAGTGGTGGCTCCAGAAATTTGCTTACAGGGGGTCCTACAGGGGAGTCCAAAGGAGACCTACCAGAGCCTCGGCCAGGGTCCCAGAATAAAAGTCTGGTACATTTCACAGGGTGAGTTTTTATGGCTATATGGCCATAATATCAGAGATTGCCGATCAAAATAACATTTTATGGATAGGCAAATGTCCGACCACCTCAGCGTTGGAAGACGGGCCCAAATGCCCTCCTTGCCTCCCACCTGCGGACAGGTCAAGCCCCTCGTCAGATAGAGCTCGACGGGCAGTCAGACCATAACAAATATAAAAATAGGCCCACACCAAGGCAACACATGCCTGTCACAGCCTGTGCAAGCTATAAGTCTGAAATACCAAAATAAGATAGAAGTACCTTCTTGTTGGTAAGATTTTTTACAATAATTATATGGGTGTTTCCCCTGGGGTGGGTGGCAGTATATATAAAAAATGAATTTCAATTTTGTAAAACACAAAAATTAGGCCTAAACATGAAAAATTAATGTGAGCCTAGGGCCTATTTATCCCCAAACGATATATAGGCCTAACGGATAAGCCTACAAAATTGTTTTCATTCAATTTTGTGAATGCGAATCCCCACTCGATGGCCGCTATTCCTGAAATTTTATTACCAATTATTTTTATTTGATAATATTACAGTTTATTAATTGGTGTTATTTTTCTCTTTTTACAGAAAACAACACAAATGCTGGTACAAAGTACTGGTTTGAGACACGTATTGTCATTGTTGTGTTTCCCGATTATTTGACCATGTTCAAAATGCTTAATAAAATGGAGATTTATGAAATTAGCATGTCATTTGTTTTGCATATGATTGTTTTCTTGTTTGCTGCCATTCCATTTACCATATCATGTTTATAATATTACATAGGAATATGTATAAATAAAATTAAAATATACCAGTGATTTGATGAAGTAGGGCGGCACCAGGAATTCCCAACGAGGGGTCTAAGCTCCCTGATAAAATTTGTAGGAGAATTTTTTTTAAATTCAAAAATAACATTTTTGACCCACGAGGAAGTGTGCGCGGTGCGGATTGAACAATATTTAAATGCTGATAATGGCAAAATACGCTAATTTAGTTTGTTAAAAAAGAATTTGGAGCATTTTAAAAGATTTACTCATGCGTATGCGCACCTCATGACGCACATGCGCATCTTAATGTCACTGTTGTCATATGAGATATATATGTATCAACTTTCATTGACAAAAGCCTGTTGGTGAAGGAGTAATGATCATTCATAATATTTATCATATATAAAATTTCAGTTTTTTTTACTTCAGATGGCAATATGGTGACGTCACAATGTCCAATCAGCTATTATGATATAAAAATTCATATCTACAGCTCATGTGCTTTCAGAATATGTAATAAAAGTTAGGGGTCACCTTTCATCCTAAGGGGCTATAACTGATTAAAAAAAAGACATGATATAAAGCATATATTAATTTTGACGCACACGAACGCTCGCGTTATTACGCGCGCACAAAAATATAATGTACATAACATTTAACCATGACCTGAAGTTTATACCCACTAAATATGATTCAGAAATCACGACTGATTAAGGTGATTATGGGGTCATCAAAGGCTGGACGAAAGAAAGATGAGGGGGGTAAGAAAAACCCTATATTTAGACCATGATGACGTCATCAAAATGTAAAAAAATGCCAAATATATGAAAGAGAATTGCCTCAGCTATAACATACTCAAAGTTGGAAGACAATTGATCAAGAATAGGTGAGATACGCTCAAATGCGCATTTGCTAAAATGAGGTCATCGATAATATTCAGTTTGTTGAATTCAGATGGCAATATGATGACGTCATAATGTCTGATCAGCCATTATGACCTATAAAATCATATTTACAACTCATGTGCTTTCAGAATATGTAATAAAAATTGGGGGTCACCTTTCATCCTAAACAGCTGCAACATAGAGTGATTGAAAAGATTGGAAACTTGTCAAAACAATGTCAGGAAACCAAAATGTGACAAAAAAAAATTAATTTCTAGCTTCCATACGTTTTGCACGCGTAAAATTGCGCACGCATATTGGTAAATTTCAAAAAATTTTGAAATGCTCAAAATGGCCTGAAACGTGCTCTAATTTAATCTAAATGTGATTTCACATTTTAAAAGTTTGACGCGCGTTATAACGCGCACGCGTAAAATTAGATATCGTGCTAACAAGAAATGGGAAAAAAAAAGATCTCTGACAATAACAAGAGGTGATCCGCTAGCGGAGCAGATCACCAACAAACACATTGGCCTTTATTATGAAGCATTCATAAATTGAAAAGTTACTACTGCATACGTCCGATCGCACTTCACTTCTGGGACTGCAAGAACAGAACATGGTTTTCAATACAGAACACACAGTACTATTTATTTATTTCTTGTTTAACCTGGTTGAAACCAAATGTTATCCTTATGACCAGGATAGATACAGTACTGTTACGTACTAAAATGAAAACATATGATCAGAACATTAATGGTAATGGAAACGCAACAAACAAGAAAACAAACGTATGACAAACAGTAACAATCACTGATCTCAAACCAAACGACTTACATTTGCGTTGTTTACTGTAAAAGAGAAAAATAACACCAATTAATAAATTGTAATATCAGTAATCAAATAAAAATAATTGGTAATAAATTTCCAGGAATACCTGCCATCGAGGGGATTCGCATTCACAAAATTGAACATGCAAACAATCTTGTAGGTTTTTTGGCCGTTAGGCCTATATATAGTTTGGGGGCTAAATAGGCCCTAGGCTACACATTAATTAATTTTACTGTTTAATTTTTGTGTTTTACAAAATTGAAAAATCCATGTTTTATACTGCCACCCCAGACCAGAGAGCATATACAAGTATGAAGGCCTATGCTATTCCTAGCTGCGTACATGTAGTTCACACCTAGGCCCTAGCTCTTCCGCTGCATAGGCTGGCATCTACCAAGCCTGTGTGTGGCCTTTCTCTGGTCCTAGAGATAGACCTAGGCTAGAATTAGCGTCGCGGTTCGCTCAGTTCAAGACTTGTTTATTTTCCATGCGACGAGGGACACTATCACGCATGCGCCAGCGATCGTCGTAAGAATATCATTGGGAGCTGTCTTCACGACTTGTCGTAAAAATAGTCACTGCATATAAAAAAAAGACAAAATAAATAAAATTAATACCCAGTCTGAAACACATGCACCAAAAAAACTTTAATAATACAGAACCCTTTAATTACTTTCCAAACATACAGCACTAGTGCGTACATCGGCGTTCCATACTGAGGCTGTTTCAGAGATGCCAAGTTTGTAAATTAGCTGGGAGTGAGAAAGTTTAAACAATCGACGAAGCAAAGCGGGGGTGGGGGTGTGGAAGGTAGCAAAATGTCAGACATGTATATACATAATACATATATATATATATATATATATATATATACATACATATATACATACATATAATACATATATATAATATATGAGTATAATATATGAGCTCATATTAAGGACAATCGACATAAACACCATACACACAACATAGGCTTATATCAATTGACCTTGGATACCACAGCACAGGATAGGCGCATGAGCAGTACAGGAAGAAAAGGGCGCTTCCAATCTTCATCGATTTCCTAACGCGATACTCTACCTCCCGCCACAGTGTATGTGTTTTGTTTTGTTTTGTGTTTTTTTTTTGTTTTTTTTTGCCGGCGTGAGAAAATGATTGTTGGGCGGGTGAGCGTGAGAAGAGGCGCTGAGGCGTGAGACTTGGTAGGTCTGCTGTTTATCGCGACCGAAATGATCTCTATTCATCTAATAAGGCTAGGCCTAGCCATAGGCCCTGCCCTAGTAGCTAAGCCAGATATAACAAGTTTTACATGCCTTTGTATTTTCACCATGCCTAAACCCTTCTGCAACTTTTCTTCTAATATGCACGGCTATATCCCGACCTTCTTTGGTTGGATCTAATGGCCAATTCTGACATAATCGGAGAAAACTCCTATATCTAACTGCCATTATTCCATCGAATTTTACTATATCAAAAAATAGAGGGGGCTATATAAGATTGCCTGCCGTTGCCTCTAGCTGCGACCTGAAAAGTCACGGTCCGGGTTTCGGGGTTCAATCTGCAAGGGAGTACCAGCAATTTGGTGTTGAATGATTGAAGATTGTTAGGCCTCTTTGGTTTTTAAAAAGTAGTTATCTCAAATTAGAGGGTCGAATTGGTGGGTGTAATGTAGACCTGGTGGCTGGAGGAATTGCAAAATGCTTCTTGTGTTAAAATTAAGAATATGGAACATGTGTTTAATGGTATACAAATGAAAATATCAAAATATTAACTGTTGAAGACATTTTTTAATGCATAAATTTAATAAGCTTTCATAGGAAAAACTGCTGGTTTAAATGGGTGGTCTGCTGAACATTTAAGGTATGCAAGTAGACGACTTTTTGTGGTATGATTAATAATATTACATCTAAATAAAATTACAGACCCATTATTGCTTCAGGTACATCTCAAATAAGTTTGAACTGATACTTAAAAAGTTATTTCGACCCGAAAAGGTCCACTGATCTTTAAATCAAATAATTCCATGGACACAAAGCCTACAGTATATGTTTTAAAACATAGTCGTTACGATAGCCCTATATTATATTCATCTTTTATGCAAGCAAAGCTTTTGATCGAGTAAATCATTGCTATTTTGTGCCGTAGGATGATTCATCGAAAAATTCCACTGTCGGTTGAGAGTGATTGCATGGATGTATACAATTAGGTAATTAATGTCATATGCCTTCAGGGTGATTGTATCTATCCTGGTGCAACCAGAAAAATTATCTCTCACGTAGTTTAAAGGTCACAAATGGAGTGAGACAAGAGGATTATGTCACCCTTATTATTTTTCATTTTATTTATTTTTCATTTCCAGGCGCAAACTATAATAACATACAGTAACTTCAAAAAGGTTTGACATGAAATAGAAAATACAGTGACATAAAACAGGGCCAGAGGATTGCTTTAAAAGCGATCTATTAATCACTGTCTTAAAAAAGCGCTACAAAAATGACAATTACACCTATGAAATCGGTAAGAAAATGATCAATACTCGAAAAAAATAAAATAAAATAAAGAAAAATAAATAAACCATGCAACAACAACAAAACAATTACAAAATATTCTAAGAATTTCAATTAAAAAAAAAATCATAAAGTTAATTTTAATATTGCATATATACAATTATATCAACATTATTTTACAAGGAAATATCGAAATTAATAAAAGATCAATACAAAAGCACAACAAACATTTACAATTGATTACCATATTATCAAATAGGCCTATTCATATTTACAAATAAAGTGTATCTCTCATATACTGTAATCATGGAGGAATAAATAAGATTTATTTATTCCTCCATGCTGTAATGATGACCTGAGTATTTTGTTGTGAAAGTAAATATGAGTGTTTGTACATTATCATGTTAAGCTGACGATGTGGTTCTTTTATCACAGACATCTGGTTTCCAAAATAAAACTGATATGTGAACGTTTGAAGTTTGGTAAGGCGTTTGAGCCCACGTTAGCGTTAGCACTGGAATCATCGAAAACTGTGGATTTCATCAATTACTTAAGCTGTCAAAATCCAGAATAGTGTTGTTAATATAACCACAGAGGTTACAAGATACAAGATAAAATTTATTGTCTCCATTAAAAAGAAAACGAAGAAATTACAAAAGCTCGCACCCATTAAAATTACATTAAAATCACATTAAAATCACATAAAAATTTAACAAAGTACATCAAAACTACATGCTTTTTTAGTTGTACGTTTATATGTTTTTATATGTAGGCCCTGTCTCTTATACACATCTCACCAGTGTTGCTGACCACATATTCAGATTTGACATAATCATTTAGTTTCACAAATTGATATCTATTTGTGAGGAAGTCTAGTACAAGACCAGCTAATTGATTAGGAACATTCATGTTTAATAACTTACGAGTAAGTAAATGTGGTTGCATAGTGTTGAATGCCGAAGACAGGTCAAAATACATTAATCTAAACATGATCTAAACTACCCTATAAAAGTACTCTCTCATGAATATAAACCCATTAATCAGTTATAGTATAGACTGGTCTCACAATTAAGCCTGCCAATCAAACGCTGTACTATACCGATTGGCCAATGGCAGTAGCAATTACAGATTGCAAAAGTCACCAAAGCACTGTTTGACCTTGATATTCCCATACGAATAGAAGGGGTGTCTATAAAACCATGGAGGCCCTTCCTCCATGATAAAACGAAGACCGAAGACCGAAGACCCAAAAACGAAGACCCCTATTTTTTCTATTTTACGATACACATTGGGTTGCGGAGGCACCTGTATAAAAAGGTCACCTTTTGGCTAAAAAAAGACCCACCCCCTTGAAGGTCTGGCTACGGGCCTGTAAGTATGTGTGGGTGTGGGTGTATGGATATTGTATATAGGCCTATAGGTAGGGGCTAGATGCATAATATGTACGGTATGCTTATTTAGATGTACGTTTATATGTTTTTATATTATGTAGGCCTATATGGATAGCACATTTCAAAGCCTAGATAGCACTCTTCCACATTTGATAGCACATTGAAATAGTGTGCTATCCGATTTTAAATAGTTTGTTATCAATTTAATGTTATACTGCCCAAACAGTAAAATAGTGCGTTATCTTTGAATGTCCTACCCACAAAACAGTGTGCTGCCCATTTTGAAATGGTGCGTTGAATGTTTATTTACTAAGAGAATTTCTATGTACAGGTATTCGTAAAGTGTTAATATTTGATTAGGTGATCCACATGTATAGGCCTGTATAATATTGAGGCCGTTTAAAATTGGGTAGCACAAAGCATTAAAGTGGGTAGCACATTTCAAATTGAGAGCACATTGTTTCTCTATTTTGAGCATGTGTACATCTTGATAGCACATTATTTTTAATTTGATAGCACATTCCATGGATAGCCCCTTTCAATGTACTATCCGATTTTAAATAGTGTCCATCTGAAATAATGTTCAACTTGAAATATTGTATTAGTGCTATCGATTTTATGCATTGTTTAAAGTTGGTTAGCACACTGTTTTAAAATGGGTAGCACATTTCAAATATGCCTAATATCGCTCTGTTTCTTCGGGCAGTACTTTAATTCAAATTGATAGCACACTATTTCACATACGTATAATATATAGACCGTTTAAAATTGGGTAGCACATTTCAAATATATAGCGCATTGTTTCTCTGTTTGGGCAGTAGGCCTACTGTACATCTCAAATTATTGATTAATGAGCACCATTCAATGTGATATCCGATTTTAAATAGTGTCCATTTGAAATAGTGCTCTACCTATTTGAAATACTGTGGTGTGCTATCGATTTTATGAACTGTTTAAAATTGGGTAGCACATTGTTTGATGGGTGGCACATTTCAAATGGGTCTAGGTTACTTCAAATAGATAGCAGACTATGTCACAATAGCTCAGTATTTCACATTTGATAGCATATTGAAATAGTGTGCTGCCCGGTTTTACATAGTGTGCTATCGAATTAATGTACTGCCCAAACAGCCTTAAAATAGTGCATTATCTATTTTGAATGTTCAAACCCACTTTAAAATATTGTGCTACCCAATTTGAAATGTGTTATTTAAAAGAATTTCCATGTATTCATAAAATTAATATGTAATTAAAGGATATATATGCATATATGTGTGGGTGTGTGTATAGGCCTATAGGTAGGGGTTATAGATGCATAATATACATGCTTTTTTAGATGTACGTTTATATGTTTTTATATGTAGGCCTATAAGTTAATGTTATAGATAACAGTATAAATACATATATTACTCATTATGTGTACACACATGAACACATTGACTTTACATAGAATAATAATATGTATACATACACTCAAACTGTTTGTTGTACCGTGTATAATTTGAACGAATAAATGTGGCACCGATTTACATTATGCCTATTTAGGTTTATTGTGGGCTAATTATTTTATTAGTTTACCAAACTTTGAGAAGACTACGTATCCTTTCTAGAGAAATGAAGAATCTTAACAGAATGTATTTCATCAGTAAATATATTTAGTATCAAGCTCGTAGATTTTTTTTTTCTGTTCGACTTGGGTACAGATTTCGCTTAAATGCAGACCTTTAAAATGAAATCATCGACTTATATCGCTTCTCATCAAGTCTATGAAGTTTTTTAATAATTAATTTTTATAAACACAATCTGGTTTGAAAAAAAAGAAGGCAGAAACGTTTTCTGGTGTAATACTACAGTAATGAGTATAAAGTAAGTAGGGCATAGACAACTGTAAATAATATTACTTCGTGGATTGGTATGTAGGCCAATAATTTTGTGCATCATCTCCATGGAATCAGTGGATACTCTAGATGACCTCCATATGGGCGGACCTGTGGTAACCTGTCACATCCAGTGCAGGTGGCCTAAACCCGACAAGCCAGATTAATTACCTCTGTGTATTCAAACAAGGCACATCATCCAATGCTAACCTGGGCTCAAACGCCTAATGCCGATTGGTTGCAAACTTGCCGGAATGCAAGACGGAGCCTAGCTATTAATACTTAATTATTCTGTACTTGCATTGTATCCACCATAACTATTTTCTTTAGGCCTTGCAGCCATTAAAAAAAAATTACAGCACCGTTTTTCCTATCTGACTATTCGAAAATACAATGGTTGGTTCAGTAATTTTATATTTTGTAAGAAGGAATATCAAATTGAAACAAAATTCTGCAATGAAATCACCACCGACAGGTAAAGGGTAAAAGCCCCTGTGGGGGCTGGGGACGAAGCCAGAGCATTTATACGATTTTAAAAGCATGTACATGTCATTTAAATGCATGTTCATGTATATTTAAATACTTCTTTACACAATTTTAAAAATAAGATAAGAAGACTACTTTTTCCAATACAGGATTTAGAACGTAAATGTTTATTGTCAAACAAACTTTTTTTTTTTTTTTTTTATTA